CAAGAGGCGTCTGGGCTGCTTCTAAATGGAAGCAGCCGGAGGGCACAGGCTGGCCATCACACCAAGCCCGTAACTGCTCAAAGTTGATGTCCGCACAGGACCTTTCCTGCGACAACCACACATGTGCATACTGAAAGCCGGTGTCTTGACACATGTATTTGTCAGCTAGTAACCTCTGCCAAAATATGCACAAACATAAACAAATACATCTGACATGTGCATTTAATCTAGTTGTAGGCAGCAAGGAATATGCTACAATAAGAACACAATCCGCCCCTGGACAACACGTGCTATGATGCAAGTTCAACTGTGCATTCCCTTTCCCGCCCAGCCGTAGGGGAATACGTTCAATGCTGCTATTGCAAGGAGAGCATTGCAAAAAAACGGCACGCACACTATTCCCTGCAATCTCAACTGGGCAGTCATGCAGCTAGGAACGGCCAAGGCCCGCAATGCGAGCGACAGAACAAATGCCCTCCTCCAAAAAAGATGTCTACCAAGAACTATTGCAGGCACTTCTCATGAGCTGCCGCATTCCCCAGCCTGCCGTGTCTTTCGGAGTCTTCGAGGCGCGTTGCTACCTTCGAAGGCCCTGAATATGATGTGGCTGCTGCGCTTGAAATCTTCTATCTGCATATTTTTCAAGGTTCATTGCAGTATTCGGAAATTGGTTCGTCGAGCTGTGGATGTGGCCAGGCGCGGGTGGAGACTTTGTAGACTGACGGGTGCCGTTTCAATCAACCTATCTGCGTCTCCATGTCACGTCGCATGTCATCATGTATTGCGTAGTATCAGATTGCATAACACAGTTTAAAGTCTACGTTGAGCAGTAACCCCAACTTTATGCATTCAAGTACATGCCTTCAGCCAACTGCCCAGCAGCGCCAATGCACAGGGCGAGTGCTAGCACAACCCCATTGCCATGGTGGCACATCTCTGTGATAAGCTTCCGTCCCCTCTGGCTAGCAAGTCGAGTGCGATCTTACAGGCATCATGCGAATCGTATCATGGAACTGCAGCCGACCTTGGCCCTTTTTGACTTGGATGTTGGCTGGGATTGTGCATTCCCCACTGCAAGCCAAAACTGTTAAAAACAAGCGACAATGGCTTGTGGCCCATGGACTTACACACACATAGGGACTTACCTCTTTGGGTTTGCAAAATCTTTTCTTTTCATCTGTCTTGCTTTTCTGCTGTCTAGCTTGTCTACTTTCTCAACTGTAAGTGTAGGCATGTTAGTTCAGGCCTGTTCCTGTTCTGATAGAACCTGGGGTCTTGAGGCTTATATGTACTCCATCACTTGCACTTGCAATCTGCTATAGGCCCCCTGCTCTTCTTGTGAACCAATTATTTTACACTTAGTTACACTCTTAGGAACAGAGTTGCCACACACACGCAACAAGTTAAACCTGTTGCCAAAACATCAAGAGAAACCACATTACCAGCCCTGAGCAACAATCCAAAATTTAGCGCTTGATTATTTTTTGCTAGCGCACTATCGCACCGCAACTCAGTTTAATCCGGTAGATTTTGCAACAACCCCGTATTAGGGCACAGTGAGACATACAGCTTTCGCTCAAGTACCTGAAAGCGCAGGTAGTTTACAAAAATTACATCATGCTATTCAGGGAAAAATACTCCCTTATTCGATACTAACCACCAGTAAGCAAAGGGAGTCTGGGGTCCATGGTGCGGCTTCAGCAGTAAACTAGTTTTGGAAAGCTCGAGGTAGACTCTCCACCTCAGCCACAGTAATTATAACGGTGCACAAAACAGACTTGTGAACTTATACATGATGTACAGGTCAGATTCTACCGGTATGCTTTGAACCGTAGGTTAACCATGATTTACCTGGGATTTCTATACGGCATGTCGGGTTCTAAGACCCTCCAAGTACCCAGTGCATCTTAGCATACACTGTACGGGATAGAACTTTGCTATCGACATGTTAGCCTGCCCCGCGCGGAATGCCGCACCATGCGGAACTCTTTCAGGCCATCCTCATGATCGGGACTCCCAAAACGGGACTCCCAAAAGTATTGGAAACCCCATAAGTCACTAGTCATTAGAGCTGCCAGCCTCGGATGTCGTACTTTGGTGCATTTCAAGCTTGTCCTGGGCCACAGCTGCTTCTTGACCACTTCTGCTATCCGCATCCCGAGGCCCGAGCAGGTTTCTCAGTGTCCAGCTCCTATGTCAGTGTGTAGGGAACAGGACAAGAAATGGAAGCCACTGCTAATCGGGATTTATACATTCAACACACAGACTCCCGTGCGAATCAAACATTTGCGTCATGTCAGGCAGACGCATGCGGAGCGGCTGCCAAACATGTTCGGCACCGTCCTCCGCAG